TAACTGTTAATGATGAGATGTTGCTTCTCTGTAGTAATTTGGAAATGCATTTAACCAGACTGAAGTCACCTGATTGGTAATGGGTTTATTTCAAGTTTCAAATTGGTGAACTCTTTGTATAAGTTATGTCAAGCAACTTTTCATAATTTGGTTACCACTAAAATAATTTCACTACTGTTGGTTATGGTTTTAATGTGTAAATTTGCCAAAAGGCTTGTTTGGGTTTTGTCTTGTTAAGAATTTGCAAGTACATAGAAATAATCTCCAACAATTGGCTTTTTACACCAGGACAAATTTAAATTTCAGATGTAAATCCTGTAAAAGTTTTTCCTAAGCTGTGATTAGCGAAACTTGCTGTTTGAGGTTAAAAAAAAAACTCTTGATTTTATTTTGAGTGGTCTAGTAGATCATAATAATCCACTGATAAATCAATAATCTACCATCTGAGAAATGCCACAAGCTACTCAGAGAATGTGATACTGGTGGGAAGTCAGCACTGGGAAAAGCTGAGAGGACAATTTTAGCCTCAGTCTAAGATGGGATCCTCCTACCTCAGTTTCCCTATTATATTCCTTTGAAAGGGAATGTTACCCACCTGGCTATCCCTCAGTCTGGCTATGAGGTAGATTTGATACTGCATGGTTGGAAAACTGAATTATCTGAATCCAAACAGAGCTAAGGATGTTTTATCCTTTCATATTTGGGCCCTAAATCTAGTCCCTGCTCAGTATCTGGGCCTTGAAGTCTTTTCTGTCAGATCTGTGTCTTCCAGACTACAAGACATTCACCTACAGTTGGTAGCAAACAGTGGGTACCAGTCAATGTCCTCCCCCATTGTTCCCTGGATGCAGCCTGTGCTTGGTTCCAGTCAACATCTTTGGGACCCCCTTGAGGCAGGGACAGCTCTACGCCCCTTGCCAGCAGGAAGCAGTTTCAGAAGCCAAGACCTTTGCCCTTTACCCCAAAAGAATTTGGGTCCCATTTGTTTGAGGGGGGAATGATGAGAATGAGATCTAGACCCCAAAAAGGAAAAGTCCTGGACTTTCCCACATGGCCAAATCTCTGGAGTTCACCTGAGGCTATAATCTAGTCAACTGGCCTTTCTTTGTGGCCACACCCAATCTCCCAATTCTCTGTGCCCTTAACCTAGCCTAGAACTCCCTGTGTCTTCTGGCCACTTCCCACCCTTAATCCTATCTAGGCTCCATTCTCCCTTGGCTACCCCTGAAGTTCTATTACCTCATAGACTACTTGGCCACGCCTAGATCCCTCCCATAGTCTTTCTGTATATAAGGTCCATAATGTCTCTATTAAGATGCTCTGATTCTTATAATCTAGCCACTACTTAAATTCTTAAAATCTAGGCAATAGCTTACTAATGTTCAGACTCCTTAAGAGTCTGCCCAATATGATAGATATTCTAATAAGCCTTATCTTTGACTAAATAAAAAAAGACAAGCAAAGTGTTTTCAGAAAAACTTGGTAAGACTTACATGAACTGATGCAGAGTGAAGTGAGCAAAACCAAGAGACCATTGTACACAGTAATAGCAATATTGTACAATGATCAACTATGAATGACTTAGATTCTCTTAGCAATACAATGATCCTAGACAATTCCAAAGCACTCATGATGAAAAATGCTATCTACCTCCAGAGGAAGAACAAATGTAGTCTGAATGTAAATCAAAACATACTATTTTTCACTCTGTGTGTGTGTGTGTGTGTGTGTGTTTCGAAGCCTGTGTTTTCTTTCACAATATGACTAATAAGGAGATCTCTTTTGCATAATTGCACATGCATAACCTATATCAAGGTGCTTAGCATCTCAGAGGGAGGGGAAGGAGGGAATGAGGGAGAGAGTTTGGAACTCACAATTCTGGGAAATGAATATTTAAGATTGTTTTTACCTGTAATTGGGAAAAAGTATTATTTCAACCCCCTCCCCCAACTGGCTCCCCTACCTTGGATTCTACTGAAAAGAGAGCTGAACTTGGAACCAGAAAACCTCTTTGCATCCCTACTGTCCTTCACAGGATATGTGACTTGGACAAGTCATTTAATGTCTTTGAGTGTCAGTTTCTTCATCTGCAAAATGAAAACGGATCTTTAAAGCCCCTTCTAGATCTAAATCATGTGGTTACAACTTTCTTATCGTACCAATAATGGTACCAATATTATCACGGTATCAATATTATCTTAGTTACTCAGACCTGACAACTCAGTGCTCTCTCCTTATTAGAGACAGCATGGCTTGGGACCTCTCTGAACCTCAGTTTCCTCATCCATAAAAAACAAGTTGGTTTAGCTAGCTAGCCTCTAAGGTTCCATCCAGCTCCAAATCTATAATACTATGATCTTCTATAGTCACTATGAGAATAAATCTGGTTAATTTTTCCTTTGAAATATTTTCCCATCTCTATCTCTTACATTCCAGGCACATACCATCAATCTAGTCACAGTCTGAATAATAGCAAAGCTTGTCCCAACTACTCTCTCTGTCTTCCTGCCTTAGTACATTCCCTAAGATCTCTATGGAACATCAACATCAGGTGAAATTTCTTAAGTGCCACTATTATCAATCATGTCATCCTCAGCCCTGGTCCCCTCCTTCACCACTCCACCCCGCCTCCAGGCTGCTGCTAAAAACAAAAAACAAAGAAAACTGGAGTAGCTCTTCTGTTGCCTACAGAAAAATTTCCAAATTACTTTCCTGGCATTCAGTCCCCAGGCAGACTAGATCCCTTCTAGTTGTCCACTACCACAAACACAAAATCTCTACTCCAGCCACGCCAATATCTTTATTGTTCCCTATTTATTCCAGATTTCACTCATATTTTTCAATACACTTAGAATTTATCCCCATATCCTCTGTATTTATCTACATTTTACCCATCCTATAAGGTCCTCCATCAATGCCACCTTTTTAATGAAATTTTCCCTAGGCACACAGATCTCATTTCTCTGAACTTTAGCAGTGTCCTACACAAATTGGCTCTTGTCTTGAATTTTTATTTGACTGATTTACACGTACAAGTCTTATGAAATTGTAACTGATGAAACTATAAGTTCTTAGAGGGCAGGGGTCATGACTTATACTTCTTGTGTGTTCTTCATAAAGCTGAATAAATGCATCATGCATCAACTAGAAATAATCAGCTTCCCAGCAATCTCTCTTGTTGAATAATACATTTCCCTATAGGTCAAATACAGTTAGTACAAATATTATTGTGATGAAAAATTCTGTCTAATAAGAAAACTATTCTAAGCCATAGTTAATGGTCTGCTTTGACAATATGATGAAACAAAATCCCTTCAAGTCAAAAGAAATGAGATGGTAGCCTTATTGGTCATGATAATGTGAGTTAGCCCATCTTATTTGCAAGTCTAATTAGAAAGATATCACATGAATAAATGTCTTTTTATACCAAAGATATAGTTGACTTTCATCTTAGAATGAGGCATTTCAAACATATATACATATATATGTATAATATATATAATATATATATAACTTAAAGAACTACTAATCTCAGATATAAAGCTAACCATCTAGCTCAAGAACTATAGCAGTGATCACCTTTTTTGATAAAGTTACTTTTGCCAAAATCAGCATAGTCATGGAGCCAATAGGGAAAAATTCCTTGTTTTTTTTTTCCTTCCAATCTAGAGGGAGCAGAGGTTGTAAAGGAAGTGGCAATGACAGTATCCCAGACACAGGTCTTTCTCTTGTGGACTACGGTATGAGAGGCCTAGTCTTCTGAGAGAAGGGGAGAGAGCACCAAGGATTCACCTGTTTCCTAAAGGAGGCTGCCCTCATGGACCAAGAGGGCAAACAATCACCTGGAGGGGAGAAGGAGGGATCAAGTGTCCAATTCTAAGGCAGGGCAGAGAGTTAATTCACATGTTGAAATAAATTCCTCTGCTTCTTATATTGTGTCCATGCCTGATAAAAAAGAAGTTTCTGAAAACAAATTGTATTGTTGGAATTAATCTTCTTTGTTAACTGAGCCATTCTGGCATTTTCTAAGGGATTTCACTAAAGAGGAAAAAAAAGTGAAATGAGGATTGTTTTTTAATGAAGACTAAAATTAAATGGTTGGCTTCATCTCTAACAAATAAAATACTTTAATAAATAATGAGACTTTGATCTTAAGCCTATTCTCAAATTTGGGGACTAGGTGCAGTTTGGAAATGAAATAATCAGAAAGAAATTAACAAGAATATGATGAGTAGTTTCTCATATCACATACTTTGACAGTTTTAATTAGCAAGGATTAGAAATGTCAACAATTAGGGCAGCTAGGTGGCATGGTGGATAGAGCACTGGCCCTGAAGTCAGGAGGACCTGAGTTCAAATCTGGCCTCAGACCAAACACTTGCCACTTACTAGCTGTGTGACCCTGGGCAAGTCACTTAACCCAAATTGCCTTTAAAAAAAAATAAATGTCAATAATTACACTTCCTATATTTCATAAATCTGAACTTCAAAAATAAATTTTTTAATTTTTTTAAAGTTTAATTTCATTCTTAACATTTGGGATTTTTGAAAAAAATATTTTTAACTAATCATTATTTGCTACTGTAACTTTCATATTGGGGCTGAAGGCAGGGTGGGGTATTGACTTGATTTTCCAAATACATTGCCTTAAATTTAAAAAAAAATCATAGTTTGACACTATTAATCACCCCTTCTTGAATAACCCTCCTTTCCTGGCTTCAGAGAAATCATTCTCTCCTAGTTCTTCTGATTTTCTTCCCACTTGAGCCAGTTCTTTTTCATCTTCCCAATCTTCAAATAAGGTGGACTGAAATTTTAAAGCAGTAGATTGGAACCAAATTTCTTTTCTCCCACCAACTTTCATTCATGATTTAAATAAGAAGAAAGCATAAAAAAGGTAAGCACAGGAAATTCTTTAAAATTAGGCATTTTCATAATTCACATTAGTGCCAAATATTACCACTGCAAACTTGAGGCAATATGGATCATAAAGAACATACCTATTAATTCTTTATTTCTGACATCTAAGGCCATATTCCGTAAAGCTGTTGCAACTGCACACACCACACGATCATTGTCTATTCGCAGCAGCTCCACTAGGATTGGTAGACCCTTTTCTTTTCGGACAGCAGCACGAATATACACTGACCACTGTTAGAGAGAGAGACAGAGAGAGAGAGAGAGAGAGAGAGAGAGAGAGAGAAAGAGAGAGAGAGAATGCTGTTTATAAATATTGTAATATTGTTGTTTTTTCCCCCTCAGGTTACCACGTAGAGAAGTAAAGGAAGTTGTGTTGATAGATTACTCTTAATGCTTTAGGAACATTACTGAACATTTCTGTCCTCCAAAAAAAAATACGAGTTTCAAGTATACTTCATTTTTCCCATGCCACTATTTCCATTTTGTGGGTTGTGAGTTATTTAATAGATGTATATTTTCAGTGCTCTATAATGTAGGCATCTAAGAAGAGAAGGTGAATTAGGGAAATTTTTAAAAAGATGAGAAAAGAACTCTGGGGAAGGAAAGACTGAGAATAAGTTTGAATGTGGAACACATTTAAGAAGGGAAGAGGGGATGGTTCCTGGACAATACTTGCAGAATTGAATTCTAGGAGACAGTTGATTGGGAAATAGAAAAGAAATTATAGAAAGGGAGATGTGGAGGACAGCAAGTGATGAGTAAGTCAGGGACTATAAATCAGGAACATAGATTTTACTTTATTCTTTGTACCCTGAGATCGATAGCTCCAGAATCATAACTTTTTAAATTTTTAAATGAAGAAATATATGAAAGTTAGCTTTGGCCCCTTATATGACTTTGCAGAATCATTCCTATAGCTAATGTTTAACAAATTCATAGGATCATAGAGTTAGAGCTGGAAAGGGCCTTGGAAATCATCCACTGCAATTGCTCATTTTATAGGTGAAAAAACAGGGACCTGAAGAGGTAAAGTCACTTATCTGACAAAACGTAGCCTCCTTGAGGTCAGGGACTGTTTCTTTTTTGTCTTTGCACCCCCAGCATTTAGTACAGTGCTTCGCTTAGAGTAGACACTTAGTAAATGCTTATTGATGGATTACCTAAATTCATATAGTTACTAAGTGCCGGGATTTGAATTTAGGTTCTCTGACTCTAAATTCAGGAATCCCTTCCTGATCCCACCCTAAATCTGAGATATTAGAATGGCAAAGCCATCACAGTTGTGTTAATGAAATACATTAATATCCACCTTTAATTTATAGACATGGTAAATACAAAATATGTGTGTGTGTGTGTGTGTGTGTGTGTGTGTGTGTGTGTGTGTGTGGGGTGTGGTGGGCAAAATGGAGCACTGACATAAAAGTAAATGAATTAAAATGTGCCACCTATTGAAATTAGGTTCACATTCCACAGATAGAGAATACCACCCATGAAATTAGGTTGGTGGAAAAGGACATATTTTTGGTTCGTGGCAATTATTTTTTCTGGAGTGGCAGGTTCCACTTTTTATATCTTCTCTCCCCTAGGCCTCATAGAAAAAGCAACTTGTATACACTTTTTACTTCCCCCTCCCTCCCCCAAGCTGGCTCTCACCTGTGGCAGGCAGGGTGCCCCCTCTGGCAGTGTACGTAGGGCATGAACCATGCCTGCCACATCCTCCTCACAGCCCTGCATGAAATACGAGATTTGAAAAAAAGAAAAAGAAAAAAAAACTTCATCCCATCCTATATTAGCAATGACACACACAGACTCATCATTCCCGACTTAGGCCATGCATCCATATCACATCGTTTTCTTAAGGAAGCCTGGGGCAGCTAAATGTGTCTGTTCTTAGCTAGGGCTAAAACTCATTGCTTCCTAGGCCTCATTCCCATGAGGCATTAAGGGTAACAGCAGGGAAACTTCAGTACTGTAAAGGGGAATGAGCTAGAAGTTCCATTTCAAAGTTCAAAAAGAAAATTTGTACCTTTTGAGTAGGGATTGTTTCATTTTTTTGTACTCACATTTCCAGTGCTTTGCAATGGGCCTGGCACACGCTAGGCATTTAAAAGATATTTGATTAACTGATCAAGGATTAAAAATTTGATTGATTTCATTAAGGATCAAGACCTGATTCTTCCCTAAAACTAAAAGTACCATAGCCACAAACTACAAAAGGGGGAGAAATTAGAAATCAGAATTATATCATGGTATGTGTCATACCAGTATATTTTCTTGAATTCCTTTTAAAAGGAGGTGGTACACAAATAATAAAAAAAATTAATGCAGACATGCAGTAGTACATATAATTTTGTTCTGAGATAAACATTTGCAACTATTTTTTATGATCCTGGTGGGAATCACAGAGAGTAGGGAGATGGGATCTATGACTTTTATTCATTCCATTTTTAGTTCAATCCCTTCCGTTATGGGTGCTGTGAGTTTTATTCCACTAATCAAGAGTCCTTTAAGGCTGCCCTCAGTCCTCTTCTCTTCCTTTTTATACTTCTTCCTGGTGAGCTCATTTATGCAATGCCATAATGCAGATGACCACCAGTCTCGACCTTTCCCATTAGCTATAATCTCATCTTTCTAACTACCCAAGAGCTGCCTCTACCTAGATGTATTAAAGGCACCTCAAACTCAAAATATCCAACACAGAGCTCATCACTTCCCTCCAGAAGGTGCCTCTTTTCCCAACTTTGTTTATCCATATTATCATCCTAGATTTAAGCTACCGGAGGGCAGGGATAATATCTTTTTTAATCTTTGTACTGTCTATCATAGAAATTCACACATATAAAACACTTAATGAATGTCATTGAATAAATGAATGGTTCTGTTGCTGACCATTTTATGCTCTTTTCAGTATGTTCATTTTCTTTGTGTGTATGGAATCCTTATTAAAAAAAATGGAGGATAGGTTTTTTTAATTGTTGGACTTTCCTGTGTCTTTTTTAGCCTACCATAATAAATTACCATGGCATTTGTTTGGCACATTAGCAAATACATTAGTAGAGTTTGCATGCAAAGCCTTTGGTGAATATTCAGAAGTTCAACAAAAATGTTTTGTAATCAATAAATTTCTTAACTCCTTTAATCTAGGCTATTTTCTTTATGTTACAGAAGGAAAAAAATCACTATATTAAATATATATAATATTAACATTGTGTATGCAGTGAATAGAGTGTTGGACTTGGAGTTAGGAAAGCCTGAATTCAAATTCAGCCTCAGATACTTACAAGTTGTATATCCTGGGCAACCTAACTCACTCAACTTGTTTCCTCACTGTCAATGGGGATATCAATAACATTTACCTTTCAGAGTTATTGTGAGCATAAAATTAGATAATATTTCTAAAGTACTTTGCAAACCTGAAGGTATTATCTAAATACTATAATAATTAATAATAATTATTATTATCTTATTTCCTCACTGCTTTTATCTTGAAGGAAGCACAATTTATATCAGTATTTTCTCAAATGTCTTTATCTTCCCAAGTCATCTTTGTTAAGATAGACTTCTGCCCCAAGAGAAAGGTTAGGAATGAAACTAAACTACTTTTCCCTGTTCAAAATAACTAAAATTCAAAATACTGAACTGGAATTCAAATTAAAAATGAAGACTGTGTTAGCATACTGTTAAAAGTTCTACTCATAGTAATTTTAATTAACATTTTTAAAGTTGTGCTAAATTTTTATATTAAAGTTAGAAAAAGGTTGTTAAAATGTTAGTTGATTGATGGGGTGTATACATTAAAGTACAAGAGATTCTTGCTTAAAAGGTAGATTGTTCATGAAAGGTCTATTAAAGTGATTTCCTATAAAACGTTGTCCCAATATTGACTTTTAGTGTAAATTAGGAGATGCTTTAAACTGGTTACTTCATCTGTAAAAATTACAGAATTGGACCTGACAGCCTGCAAGTTCCCTTCCTATCTACATACAGGGTTCCAGGAAACTATTATTTAATCTTTATTTGATAATTCAGAATGACTTGAGGATCCTCATATGCTTCAGGATGACAATGAACCTTTTCATCAAGCAGTAATGTGGCCATACTAGTGCACTTTGTCCTGACCCCAAGATGTATACTGGAATCGTTATTTATTGTAGATAAATCTCTGGTATCGGCTTACTTGGTTATGTTCCCATGATTATCCGTGTAGTAAGTATCTGAACCCAGATCTCACCTGAGTCTAGGCCTGGTTCTCCGTATATTACAGTGGACTCTTTCTCACACAAAAAAGTATTAATTTGGTCTTTCTGGTTCTTTGTGTATCAGATAAAGAGGAGTTGATCCTAAAATAATGCTCTGAATATTAATAGCAATCCAGAATAATACTCAAAATTAATCACAAAATAAAAGTCTGAAAAATGAAAGAAAAAAATAAACCCCAAACCAGTGAAGTATCAGAAACTAAAAACTATTCCAAGTCTGGAAGTGGAAGTCCCTAAAATTTAATACTTGAGCAGTGTTTTCACTGCCTTTAAACCATCTTTAAGATTTTGTTTTCTTCCTATCACTAGACCTTTTCTAGGCATTTTCTTCTGAGGACAACTATTGCTGTTTTATAACAAATCTATTGGTCGTTAAGATAGGAGGAAATGGGGCAGCTAGGTGGTGCAGTGGATAGAGCACTGGCCCTGAAGTCAGAAGGACCTGAGTTCAAATCCGGCCTCAGACCAAATACTTGACACTTACTAGCTGGGTGACCCTGGGCAAGTCACTTAACCCCAATTGCCTAAAAATAAAAATTTTAAAAAAAAAGATAGGAGGAGATGCTACCACAAAAAACTTACATATCACAATCTTGCTTAACAGTGGAAGAGAACCCCAGCGTCTACTGGAACATGTAATTAATTGGTTGGCAACTTATCAATGCCCAATAATCACCAGCAAATTAATAGGCAGTTCCTGTTCTGACTAGCCTGTTTTTTTTTTATAATTCGGTTCATGATTGTGATAATCTTCATTAGGGGATATTAGCACTTTAAAAACATTGATAATAAAAATTGCCAAGCTGCTAATCACTGTTGGGCATTATTACAGGTTCAAGTTTGAATTTCAATTGAGGGAAGGAGAACAGTTAAGGTAATAGCAATAACTGACTTTTACATATAGTAATTGGAAGTTTACAACTCATGTTACATACGACATCTCATTTGAGTTTCAAGACGTTGGTATTACAACTGCGATTATCCCCATTTACAGATGAATTAACTGAGGCTCCCTCCCAGGAAGTTAAGTGGCTTGCCCATCATCTCACAGTTAGTATCAGAGGCAGGATTTCTACCTCAGATTTCTGCTGCCTTCAAATCTAGCACTCTCTCTCCAGTGTCAAGCTGGTAGGTAGAACTCTTCTCCTTTCATCCTTCATGTACTGCTGTTGGATTGAATTTATGACAATTCACTAATTCCTTAAGTTCAAAATTCATTCTGAGTGATGTTATAAAGCAAGTGCTATCTCTAGTGGGGAATAAAAGGAATTCTAGATAGAGAGAGCTGTATACTGAGTAGCTTATAATAAAACCAGTTAATATGATGAATTGATGAACATTTGGAATTTTGTCATAGAAGACAACCGTTACTTTTTTTTCCCCTCCAGTCAAGTTAATAGAACTGAAAATTCTAAGCATCTTGAAATACACTAAGGCAATGCTGCAAATATAACCTTCCCAAGCAAGAAGGCTTTTTGCAAAATGGCACCCATTTGCTTTGAAGTAAGAAAAAATAAATAAGGTCGGGCTCTCTTTATCTATATCTTCCCCCCCCCATAGTTATTTCCCTATAAAAGTAATTTTGAAGGCCCATTCACTAGATAAAAATCCCCCAAACAATCTTAAGGATCAGTAACTTTCAATTAAAAAATATGTCTTAGAAAAATGACCTTTCTTTAAAGTAGAAAGATTCTTTATTTTGAAAGTTGTAGAATATTAGAGATGTCACCAAATACATGAATTTGACATTTATAAATGTCCTTTTATTAGCTAAGTACGACACTGTCAAATGCACTGTCTCCTGAGCTGTAGGAAGCTCTAATTCAGTATCTCTAGGGTTTTCCTGGCGACAAAGCTATGTGACTGCTTTGTTAAAAGGTAAGAATTTGATATCAAGGTAGGTATCAGTGACCCTTTGCTTCTCATGCTGGACTCCCTCCAAATATCTGAGATGGCTCTCAACAAAGTACAGCCTCTGACCTATGGTGCAACATCTGCCAGCTGTGAGCAGAAGGTACCAATGAAGCTGCTACAAAAACAAATCATCATTTCTAGCTTAACAATAGTCTTGAAAAAAAAAATCTACTAGCCAAAGCAGAAAACTCTACATTTTAAAATAAGATTTTTAAAAATCCCACAACACTGGATTCGGTATAGAATAGAAAAATCAGAGTTTTAATGTGAATGGACTTCTTTTTCTGACATACTGATGAGAGACTTGGAAAATCTGACAGCCCTGTCTTGGTGATTCAGCCACTATCACAGCATCAAAGTTATCTAGTCACACCGCCTTCAGCTGGGGATTCAGGAAAGTCTGTTAATCACATCAGCCAGCTCTGGAGAGCTAGAAAATAGATAGAAACTACACTTTGAAAACCAGGAACTGTCTGTCCATTTCTCTAAACTTCCAATTAGGCCAAAATCTCCCACAAGAAATTAATACTTGACATATTTCGAGAATATTTAAAT